AAAAAAAAAATAAAATATTGTGGGAATAAAATAGCGCTAATAACCTCAGCTAAGTACCTACATACATACATACAAAAACAAGGAGGGAAATCCAACACATTAGCACACATAAAAACAGACCCATTGCTGAAACTACTGTGAGTGCGACCCAAGATATCTCCATTAAATCTTAATAAAAGTGCAAATCAGAATGATGTATTGTGGAACGATTTTCCGTCATCCCTTGTCAAATTTGGTTTGGAGACATACCGGTTTCGGCGTTGTGCCATCTTCAGTGTCATTTTTCGTTCTGAATAGTCCGTGTTTCCTTCCGCTTTTTATGTATTTATGTATATGTTTTAACTGTCATTAGGTCATGCATACCCATCTAAGTGCGATGGGTATGCATGACCTAATGACAGTTAAAACAGATTGTAACACGAATACATAAAAAGCGGACGGAAACACGAACTATTCAGAATGTGAAATGACACTGAAGATGGCACAACGCCGAAACCGGTTTGTCTCCAAACCAAATTTGACAAGGGATCACGGAAAATCGTTCCACAATACATCATACTCCTACCCTGTCGGAAACACAAACAACCAAAAAGAAGTTATTGAGGCCGGTCAGGGACATCAATTAAGGACCAATACGCTTTTGACAATATACCATAGACGGCTACTGAAAGTACATACTACTAAGGCTAACATCTGGTTCAACAAGCAATGTTTAGAATTGAATATTACACCGAAATTCGCGCAAATAAAACTAAAATCAAAAACCGAAAATAAGCGGAAAATCTTAAAAAGAGCAGAAAACAGCTTTCTTTGCCACGAAATAAGAAACCTACACGGCAAGGGGGAGCGGACAAACTCGGAGCTATTGGCAATTCACCTAGAACTAGCTGGACTCCTACCAACCAGTACACTGATGCTGATATTAGATGGAATGGAGGAAAACATCAAGAAAGTCATGGGGCAGAAGTACAGAAAATTTAACAAGAAACTTGAAGACCTCAGTAGAAAACAAAAGGGCGCAAAGAACCAAAAACAAGCAGAACCGCAATTCCATTCAAATTTTGTAAATTTAACAGCGGTCCCTATCAATGAGCAGGAGGCAGAAATACTGAGGAAAGGTCTTAAACACAACATCACAAACTATGATAAAAAGAAGGAAATGGAGCATACCATTGTGGACACAGAAATGGCTATAGCATTGATCCCAAAAGAAGAGCAGGATCACACCAGGCACCTATGTAGGCATATAATCGAAAAACATGCAATATCCAATGACAAGAGAAGCGNAGGCACCTATGTAGGCATATAATCGAAAAACATGCAATATCCAATGACAAAAGAAGCGGGATAACGAAAACAAAACAATCAGGGTTCTTAAACAAAAACTAAAGGCGACCAACGTGATCACAACAAAAGCAGACAAAGGGAACACAACGGTATTAATCAATAAAAATGAATATATGGAAAAAACGGAACAAGTAATAAAAGAAACAGGCTGCAAGAAAATAGGAAATGATCCCACCGATGAGTACCAAGTGGCAATAAAAAGCGAGATAAAAAGGGCGACAACGATAATAAATGAGAATGAAGCAGGAAGACTAACATCAATGAACCCTTCGGCCCCTCCAATGATTTCATTACATAAAATGCATAAACCAGGTAACCCGATGAGACCGATTATTAACTACAGATACAAAATGTCGAAATACCTGAAGACCATACGAAAGAACAAACTAGAGTTACCCAATAAATATATAGTCACAAACGCGGCACAGCTTATAGAAAATATGACGCCCTTACATATCACTAATAATAATAAATTGGTATCATTTGATATAAAGGGTCTTTACCCGTCAATACCAACAACAGAGACAATGGATATTTTATTTAGAATATTACTCGGCAAAACGGAAAAGAAAATCGCAAAAGACATTATCAATACTTTGAAGACTACGATAAACCAAAATTATTTCCGATTTAACAACAAAATATACAGGCAAATAAATGGACTAGGAATGGGTAACCCAATATCGGCTCTACTCACGGAGGTGTTCATGCAAAGCCTAGAGGAGAAATATATGGAGCATTTCACAACCAATTTAGGGGTCAGCTTCTACGCTAGATATGTGGACGACATAATATGCATAATAACGGGGGACAAAGAGGAGCAGATATTATACTACCTTAATGAACAACACAAAAATATAGCTTTCACGATGGATACNATCTAACTATTAAAATAAACAAGACCACCAACAGACTGGAATACGAGATATACAGAAAGCCCACAGCGACCGACACAGTAATACATGAAACCTCTAACCACCCACAACAACACAAAAACGCAGCATTTAGACAATTATTAACTAGACAAGGCAGCCAAACTCCTCCATGTACAGCATAAAAGACGGCGTTTGAACATATTGGAAAACATGGAGATATACAAGCAGAAAGCATTTCAAGGGAGAATTATAAACGAACAAACAAACACCGCATCCGATGTAATATTCGAACCACTCAAGATGTTGTACGAAAAATATGAG